TAACAAAAATAAAAATACCGACCTCCAATGGTCGGAATTTCAACATTACAAAAATAAAAATACCGACCTCTAGAGGTCGAAATTTAAAAAAATGAATATTCCGACATAAAATAAAAATCGACCTCGAGAGGTCAGTAAATACCGACCTCCAGAGGTCGGTATTGAATAGCGACCAAGTTTTTTCCGACCTAAGCTGGGATGTCGGTTTTAGGTCGGTATTCACTATTTTTTTAGTAGTGCGGGCGAATCTGGCACCTTGCTCTGCGTCGCGGACTTGCCTCCCCATTTCATAAAGTTTGTATTCGCGTCGCAGAGAGGTCATGGACCTCTCTGCCTCAAAAGTTAATTCGCGACCAAATATTTTAATTCATCTCCGCATCACGGACTTGCTTTCAGACAATGATTTCTTAATCGTTTTTCATGTTTAACTATCTAAAAACACTCCTAAACATGACAAGATCATTCGTATCACAAATCACAACCTTGAATTCATAAATCACATTCAAGGTAGAGTTGAGAGTCAAGTCTTGAGAGTTCTCTCAAACTATTTTTGAGTAAAGTCCCTTTGAGTCCTTTGAAGAGTCTTCTACAACTTCTAATAACTTGTTTCAAAACTTCGAGTAAGTGAGCATGAGAGTGAGGATAATGTATTCATGAGTCTACACTATCACCTAGATCCTTCATATCATGAACCATAACTCTTGAATTCATAATTCACATTCAAGAGAGAGTTAAGAGTAGAGTTCAAGAAAGCCTTTGAGTTCAATTGTGAATCCTTTGAGATTCATCATCGATTTGAGTTAAGTTTTGAGATGTAAGTATGAGAATGAGAAGAATCGTATGCCTGAGTTCCTTATTGATATTTTGACCCTTGAGTCAAGTCGTTCATGCCCATAACTTCCGCATGAACTCCATCAATTTAGTATCTTTGAAAGGAGTAGTATCTTCAAGTTTTAAGTCTTGAGTATTGAGTTCCTAAACCTTCCGAGATTATAATCCTAATCATGGGACTATTACCTATTACCCATGAAGTCCATGAGTTGAGTTGTTCATGCCCATAATTCCGCATGAAAATTATAAGTCGATCAATCTTGAGATGAGAAGTAGCTTTGAGTCCTTGAGTTGAGTAGTTCATGCTCATAATTCCGCATGAACCCTCTGAGTTGAGCATTCTTGAAATTAGTAGTATAATTGAAGTTCTTGAGTTTCAAGTATTGAGATCTATCTATGGTTATTGAAAACCTTGCATCGAGTCGTTCACGTCCATAATTCGGCATGAACCATATTTTAAGAAGTCTTTTACAAATGTTTTAACTTTGTTTTAAGACTTAAGTTTTGAGTTCAATAAAGAGTAAAAGTTGAAGTTCATTTCTATAAAAGTATATGGGGACTATGTATTCCAAAAATTGTTTAAAATGTTTTCACATTTAAATAAGAACGGAAAACTGAGATTTTCAAAAGAGCCTTTGAGCTAGTTTTTCAGTAAAGAGCCTTTGGGCTAGTTTTTAGTTAAAGAGTAAATGCTTTCACAATAAAGCAAGAGAGGAAACCTTGATTTTCAAAATAGCATTTGAGCTAAGATTTTGAGCAATTATTTCAAATCACAGAAAGAAGTATGTTTTAAACATAAAGAGCTAGTATCATATTTTGGGAGTAGTATTGAGCACCAATATGGGGACGAGCTTGAGTTTAGATAACTCACGTCTCAATAAACCATGTAGCCATCATGGGTAGAAAAGGGTCATATTTTTTAGATGAATCATTTTTGCATAGACTAGTGGATCCACTTAGTAGTCCAGGTCCTATACCTGTGGCAAGGTATAGGATGCGCTGGCAGCGTGAGGAAGATCGTTGTATTATCACAATAGCTCTTATGTGATGGTTGTCGGTTAGAGAAGCTCCCACAACAGTACTTCGTATTTTTATATACATCACTTTATTTGTATTTTTACATACATCTCAGAATTATTTGTATTTTTGCATACACACATAGTTGACATCATGTTTTAAACAACTTTTCTTTAGATTGTACTTGTTTTAAACTGCTTTTTATTGAAATGAGTTCGGCTATGTTAAGTTGAGTTTAGCCAGGTAAGTTCTTCAGTTCCTTTCAGATTCTTTTCAAGCTTATGTTTATGTTTTAGTAATTTCTCTTACATGCTCGTACATTCCATGTACTAAGCCATTTGGCTTGCATCTTCTCATGATACAGACACATGTATTCAGGATCATCAACAGGAGATTCGTTGATACATCCGGGAGTTCGAGTTACCTATGGTGAGCCTCCTTGTTTTCGGAGAATTTCATTTACTTTTCAGTTTAGTCAGGATGTCGTGGGTCTTGTCCCGACTTCCATCTTTATCAGTTAGAGGCTTCATCGATAGTCAGTATAGTTGAGAAGTTTGTATTATTCATTTATTTTATTAAATGTTTTAAAGACTTAAGTTGCCTATTTTATGGCGAGTTGAATAATTTATTTTATTCAGAGTTTCTTTTGAGTTAAATCTTTCTATTTAAGTTTCATGAATTTTATTCAATTTTAAGCTTTTGCATGCTTGAGTTAGTCTTCCGCTTGTAGTCAGTCAGGATGAGGGTTCGCTTGGGGACCATCAATGATCTTCGAGTGCGGGCCACGTCCAGGATGTAGATTCGGGTCGTGACATGATCAATAAAGTAGTGGTGATGCAGTAATTTGTAGGCCATTGAGAGAACACATTTTGTCACAATTAACCTCTACCTCAAAAGTGGCCCAGGGATCACATTTTCATTGTATGGATTTGACCAAATAAGTTTCTTAATAGAAAAGCATATTTTTATAAATTTTTTGTTAAATAAGTGCATGTTATAATATGATTAAAATGTCGATATTATTCGTAAATATTTATCAAACAAAAAAATTGTCATTTTTTAAAAACTGACTGAAAAGAAAAATATCACATAAATTAAGATAAACATTTATTAAAATCATTTTATTTGAAATTTTTGAATTTGATTGATCACTTTTTTTATCAATCTAATATCTTATGTTTAGTGACTTAAAAATGTTTTAAGAGTTTAATAGTTATATTTGGATAACTTTTAAACATAGGAATATAATTTAAATAATAGCCTTAAAAGGCGAAAATTGCATAGCTCAACTGTTATTAAGGTAAAAATTAAAATAATAGGTCATAATTCTTTACTTGTTTGCTTTATTTTGTTTAGTTACAAAACAAAACTAATCAACAAAATTTATTACTATTATGGACCGCTGCATCAAAGAAAAAAAAAGAGGTTCTTAAGCTTAAAAATGTTTTGATAAAAATTTTCAATGAGTTAAAATAAAAATAAAATAGGTTTAGTTCAAATCAAATCAACTTTTCAATTAACAGAATACAAATGTTAAATTGGGTAAGTAAATAATTAGAATCCGCTCAAAATTAAGCGGATTGGACGGATTTTTTTTTTCAAGAAATCATTTTATCACCTCCTAGCTAGCTCGCAAATTATATCAGAAAAATAAAACGCATTAGTTGAGTTTCATGTGATAAGCTTAATCAAGAAAATATGCGGAGAGTTTTAAATTTGAAACCTCCATTTGAGAGATCAATCACTTGATCGACCAACTCGATCACCTTGTGTTCCTTCGTTTTGTCTTCATCGTGTTAAAGTCATTTGACGTAACTGCAGGACTTCTATTTAAAGGATTCTCAAAAACTTTGTTTTCACTAAAGGACTTGCATAGTTGCAATCGAATTGTTTATATTTGTGTTATACACTTGATAAGAGAAAATATTATGTATAAATTTGGTTATTAGGGACATGTTTTTTTTAAGTTAGATTAAAAAAGAATGACACATTTTCTTATTTGATCATGTTTGATGACCATTCTGATCATTTTACGCATGTTGAGTTCTATTTATTTGACAAAAGTATGTTCTTCTATTTAAAAATTTATTTACTATGGGGTCGTTTAAAACATTACAAAATCGTTTCATATTTTTTAAATTCCGTATTCAATTAAATTATATCACATAACTTGAAATACAAAAAATATTAGTACTATATATATATATATATATCTTTCACTCTCTTTGCAGGAAATAGTTGAATTGAGTATTAAAAAAGAGGAGACTGATAGCGAGGGTTGAAAGAAGCCTGACCATATATTAAAACTTTTAATTTCAGTTTTGGTAAAAGAGGATCCATAACTTAAAGGAATATTCTAAAGTTGAAAGGAAAAGAGCAGATGCTGTGTACTATAAGCATGTGGGTTCCGCCAGTACTTGAGAAGCATATTTTTTAACAATTCTTTTGATTTATATTGATGTAAAGAGAATTAGAGTTCAACTAATATTGGACCCTTTTAAATTGAATCCTTAATAATTAGGGTTACAAATATATTTAACATATGTATATTCTTGTTTAAGAATAAAATAAAAGGGTAATAATTCCTTGTCTTAGTTCAAATAATGATAGGGTGAAAGAGTATGTTGGAGATGCTACTTTTAATATCAGTATTTTGAATTCCATGGCTATCTCCTTTCAGATACATACAATGTGCTGTTCTTGCAATATTCTTTGCTATTTCAATAAATGTTTCAGAAAATAGGGAGTTTTCCTTGTGAGCACTACTGTTCATTAATTCCCATGTCTCCTTTATCAAAAATCGTATGTGCTCTCTTGCTTCTTCTTCTGAAACACCCTTTTCGTTCATGTAACACTGAATTGACTTGGGAACGTCGCCTCTTTTCAATTCATCCTGAATTAAATGATAAATAGTAAACATCTATTCATCATTTTTAAGGAGATATAATTTTTTAATTATTTGTATGAAATTGATCATTTTATTTTAACCTAACAGGATTATCAACAAGAGCTTATATTGCTGGAGGGATTTCAACCTATATATTTCAAAATTTATATAGGCACAATGATAAAGCTCTAACACCTTTTTGGTTGGGGCTCTGCACACCAGGAAAAGACTGACGCGATGAGAAACCATTATAAAAGTATTCAACTTTAAGTACTTGTAAAACAAAAATTTAAATTTTTTTTTTTTGGGTAAAATAATTTTGTGTTAGAGAAAGGATATGTATAAAAGCATACCGAAGATGTCCCCAAATCATTGTTGAAACGAAAAATAGTAGCACTCCATCGAATAATGTCAGGATAATTGGTTAAGGAATCCAAGGCCTCTTTGGTAATTTGATTTGTGACAAGGAACAATGCATGCACTAATACCATTGGAACTGCAATTGAGATCCATCCATTATCTATGTATTCTTCTAGACTTGGCTTGTATCCATTGTAGTACCATCTTGCTTCTTGTAAGTATGATTTGCATAAATCTGTCCACTAATTAATAACATATATATAAGACATTTAAATATTGAAGAAAATCGGGAATATTTTGGGAAAAGAAATTATTTATAAAGTAGAATGAATGAATGTTACTGATTTTGTAAGGTAGGGTAGGACGTTGATGTCATGTTTTTTGAGAACCTCATACGCCACTTCATTTGTGGTATTGATGAGTGCAAGATAACATACTTTCATATAATCTGGAAGATTTTCCATTGCTTTTGTATCCCATCTGAAATTAGTTTTTTATATTACTAGAAAATAATTGACTTGTACAGTAATTTCTTCATAAAAATCCCAATTAATCTTGGTAGCAAGCAATGATTATTTAAAGCGTGCACAAATTGATCGATATATATCATAAAATAAAAGAAATACATCTACAATTCTAGCGTGCACCAATAATTTGGCTAAAATTAATTACTGACCTTTGAACAGCAAGAGTGAAGAGTTCCAACTCATCAAGTGTGCCATAAACATCATAAATGTCATCTATGATTCCAACAAAAGCAATGATCTTCGTTATCAATCTTCGAAAGTAGCTGTGTTGAGGCTCAAAATTTGTCCCCACAGCCCAAAACAAATTCTCCACCAGCCTATTCCTTGAAAATGATAATTTTTCTGCCAGGCATATGTTCTTCCACCACCTAATTATATTATTTACATCAAAATTTATGCTACGTATCATCATGTAAGAGATAAATCAGCGCTTCTTAGCATTACCCATTTATTAATTATCTATCTAACCTTGATAGAATTTTCAAATCGTGTTGGTGTGTTGCTTGAACAATGTTGAAGTCCAACTTAGCAAGCTCCAGCAAAAGAGGATTAGCATTTGACATTCTCTCATAAATGCTAATATACCACCTTGTTTCTAATCTTGGCATCATCCAATGTCTTGGAAGTTCCAAGGCATGTACCACTAATTCCATCATTATATTATTGTATTGATCTCCACATGAATGATTGCAAACATAATTCTTTAGATGTGCCTCTGTGAATCGTGTGACATTTCTCAAAGTGGTTTCAGATTCTGATTCCGTAGAGAGAAAAGATGTTTCATATAATTCTAACAATCCTTTTATGTCGTTACAAATACTTTGCTTCACATCACCATTCACGTCCTTGAAATTGTTGAATATATCTACAACACAAAAAAAATTACAGTGGTCACATGTAAAAAATTAGATAGTTCAACCCTCATACTCCTAACTGTGTCACATAAATTGACATATACCGCACCAAATTTGTATATATGTATGTATGTCCTTACATCATCTTACACGGAACTCGGAAGGATACTGAGCTACGTACCTTGAGAGATATGAAAGCCATGTTGTCTCAAGAGCCTAAACTTCAAGGCTGTAGAGTATAATGAATTATCACTACAGCTAATTTGGTCACGTACACTCTTCAATATTTGCATAATTTCATTCTTGAAGTGGTAACTCACTCCAAGCCTTTCTAAATTATCAATCAACTCCAACTTAACATCTAATTCTTCTATTGATCCCTCAACCATCATCATCAAATTCTTCTTCATTTCTTTCTTCACTTTGTCTAACCGCTCCATATAATTATCTCCCTATACGCATGATGCTAAAGTTAATTAATTAGTGATAACAATACAATCATGTATATATATGCAATTAGAGGAGCTAGCGTAACAAAAAAATATACCGCGTAACGATTGTTAACGGACTGAATATATTGAAAGTCCCACATAGTAGGTTTGTAATTCCCTGAACGTCGGATAGTAGTTGGATTTGGTGTAGAGGCTTTTGATACAACTAGTGATGATGATGGCTCCCCTCCACTGATGGAGAATAAACAAGTAGCTGGAGGTGGCCTTGAGGATAGCACCCCTATGTTGTTGAATAATATTGCCTTCATTCTATTGATTCTCTTGTTTAATGTTTTACTTGGTAGTTTTGTTGAAGCCTCAACTAAAAGTTGTCATAAATATATATAGAGAGAAAAAGAGATTCCATACTATACCATTATAAGAAACGGAGTAATTTGTGCTATAAAACATGATTTTTTTCTACCTAATTCCAACTAAATCATCTTACCTGAAAAACACGCAGTGAAAACAGTTTTCAATTGAAATACTAAAAGTGAAATCAAATGATGAAAACGTTCCATGATTTGCTAAAGGACCGTTTCGTGCTGACAGGCTAACAACCAAATTAATTAAAACAAATCGTACTTCTCTTTAATTTATTTCTAGAGAAAATGTTTTGATTTGATGTTTCACCAATATGCATCAGCTACAAAAAGAGAGCATTGGCAAGATATTGTGCAAATCTTATTTGATGCTGACAGCACCGTAATTCAATGTAAATGAGATACTAATTAATCTTGCAAATGCTCTTTTTTTACGTCCAACTTGGTAAAAAAAATAGGAGTAACTATAATTGCTAACGTCATCCACAACACATCTCCCAAATTATCTCCTTTGATAATCCGTGCAAAAAATTATTCAAAATTTGAGTTGAATGTATCTAATAAGTTTGTCTCGTTTTAACGATTTGCTTAAATTCAGTTGAACGGTCCACATCAACAAGGCTGACACAAGAGTCTTGTGACTCCGATACCATTTGCAACGGCCAAGCCTGCTAGTGACGTATTGTCCGTTGTAGGTTTAGACCCGCACGACTTTAAAACGTGTCACTAGAGAGAAAAAGCAATTCCATACGTATCTTTAATTTATTTCTAGATAAAATGTTTGGATTTGATGTTTCACCAAGATGCATCAGCTAGAAAAAGAGAGTATACTTCGGGTGTGTTTGGTACGGTGAAAAACATTTTCTGGAAAATATTTTTCAATTTCTCCATGTTTGGTTGACTTAAATGTTTGGAAAATGTTTTCCAAATTATCAACTCATTTTTCTCAAAGGAAAAAAGGACGGATTTACTCCCGAACTTTAATAAATGGTACGTCTATGCCCTCCGTTATACTTTGCGTCCACATATGCCCCTGCCGTCCAATTATAGGTACACACATGCCCCTTTCACTAACGGACCCCTTATTTTTTACACGTGTCTTAATCCTAATGAACTACCCGTTTGACCTTTTTTTAAAACCCATAAACCAACTATCCGCCCCAGAACCCAATATCCACCCAATTTCCTCTAAAAGGCATCCTAATTAAAAGACCCAAATTAACAGGTCCCGTATCTCACACACAAAAACCCTAGCCTAGTTCTTTCGTCGATTCCAGTTTGTTGGTCGATTCCACCTTGTCTTTGTCGAATCTATCGTGTGTTGGTCATAATTTCGTAGTCAATTTTTCATCTATCTGTCATCTCCCTCATCTTGGCTTGTAAAATGAAGGCACTCAAAGCAAAACTCAACCAATAGAATAGAAGTTTGCAAGGAAATTTTACTCTTAAAGAAAGAACATCCTCAGCCAGTTAGCAGATATAGACAGAATGCTTGCTGTGACGACTTTGACTGAGGATGAAAGCTACATTATTAATGGATTTTGAGGAAGTCAATAAAAATGAAGATTGCTCGATCATGGAAACAAAAGTCTACATCTCTTTGTCTTAAAGAGGGTGATAGGATCACCAAGTTCTTTCACAAAATGGCCATTGTCCATAAAAGATACAATAACATAGAATAATTCATGTACAAGGAGTAACCACTGATGACCCAACAAGGATCAAGGGGAAGATCACTGACTTCTATTAGAAGTTATACACAAAACAAAGATGTGGAGGTGTGTTAGCAATTTTGGATATTGTTTGGTGATTTCAGAAGAAGAAAGGGAGAAACTGCAGGGGAACACAGAACTAGGCTAGGGTTTTGTGTGTGAGATATGGGACCTGTTAATTTGGATCTTTTAATTAGGATGCCTTTTAGAGGAAATTGGGTGGGTATTGGGTTATGGGGGCGGATAGTTGGTTTATGGGTTAAAAAAAAGGTCAAACGGGTCGTTCATTAGGATTAAGACAAGTGTAAAAAATGAGGGGTCAGTTAGTGAGAGGGGCATGTGTGTACCTATAATTGGACGGCAGGGGATTATGTGGACGCAAAGTATAACGGAGGGCATAGACGTACCATTTATTAAAGTTTGGGGATAAATCCATCCTTTTTCCCTTTCTCAAATATAAGGAAAATGACTTCCTTTTTCAAAATTGAGGAAAACATTTTTCAAACTCCACTTCATCCTTTAATTTTTTTTTCTTACCCTACCAATAACGTACCTGACCTTCCCCATTCAAAAAAGAAATTAAAAAATTTAAATTTTCATAATTTTTAAATTTCAAATATATTTTTATCTCTACCCCCAAACCACCCTCCCCCCCCAAAAAAAATTAAAAATTATTTTAAAAAATATTTCAAATTTTAAGATTTTTTTACCGTACCGAACTCCCCTGTCACTCCCGTCATTTTTTATGTTTTTTTTTTGAAAAATATTTCAAATTTTAAAAATTCATTTTATGCCAACTCCCTACCTCTCCCCCCCCCCCCTTCCCCCAAGCTATCTCCATCAAATTTATTTTTTTTAAATAATTATTTTTGGAAAATATTTCAAATTTTAAATTTTTTCATTTTTACGCCACCCCTTACCCCTACCCCATCACCCCCACCCAAGGTATCCCCAACAATTTTTTTTGTTCGAAAGTCTAGGTCAGGTCCTGGGTCAGATCTCAAGGTGGGATTTTGAAACGGTCATCGGGTCTTGTCCTAGTTTGGGTGTCGGGGTCGGATCCTAGATCAATTATTGGGGTTGATTTTTGGATCAGAAATTATTTTCTTAAAAAATATTTTTTAGTCTCAAGCCAAAATAAAGAATATTTTCTGAAAAATATTTTTCATTCACTAACCAAACATTAAAAAATATTTTCTATTCACCAACCAAACATGAAAAAATAAGTTAGAAATCCACTTGTTCATACCAAACACACCCTCCATCGGTTATTTGTGCATCCCAATATGCATCAGCTAGAAAATATTACTTATTTGATTTGATTTGATTTGATTTGATGTTTCACCAATACTGGACGTGTTCATATACTCCATCAGTTATTTTATGTGACATTATTTTCTTTTTACTCGGTCTAAAAAAGAATGTTACTTTACTATAATTAAAAATATTTTAATTTTAAATTCCCCTATTACCCTTAATGATAGGATTTGTAGTCACACAAATATATAACAAATGTATTAAACCACAAATTTTATAAGTTTTTTTTTCTTAACAACAACGTACGTACCACAATAAAATAGGACAAAGAGTGTATTTATTTTCATTATAATTTGCATCACTTATCATCGAGCTAGCCAAAATAATTTTGGCCCTTCCATAGATATGTATCGAAAAGAAATGCATAAAAATCTGAAGTATAGTACATAATGAGTATTTATGAAAAGACCAAACAAAAGGGTAGGAACTTTACGGAATGGAAATAGTGATGTGTTCAAAAAATAATTTGGAAATGCGATTCTGAATTTCAGAATTTTGAATTCCGTGTCCATCTCCATGCTGGTACATGGTCTGTCCAGTTCTTGCAACATTTACTGCACATCCCATGAATTTTTCACAAAATAATGAATTATCATGTTGAGCTGTGTTTATCATTTTCCATGTCTCATTCATCATTAAATTGATATGTTTTCTTGCCTCTTCTTCACTAGCGCCATTCTCTTTCATGTAACACTGAATTGATTTCGGAACGTCACCTCTTTTCATTTCATTCTGAAGTAATAGGAACAAAAATTTGAGTGTCTGTTTATTTAACCTATATATGTAATTAATTGAAAAGAATAGAAAAACGTACAGATGATGTGGCTAAGTCATCGGTAAGACGAATAATAGTAGCAGACCAACGAATTATGTCAGGGTACTTGTTTGAGAATACGTATTCCAACACCTCTTTGGTAATTGGATTTGTGACTAAGAAAAATGCATTCACTACCATCACCAGACTTCCAACTGAAATCCATGCATTTTCCATGTATTCATCCACACTTGGTGTATATCCATTGTAGTACCATCTTGCTTCTTGTAAGTAAGCTTTGCATAAATCTGCCCACTAATTTTATATATATGCATATGTCTCAAATATATAGTACTAAAAAATAAGAAATAAGGGAATAAATTCAAGTAGAAATATTTTTAATTACTGATTTTGTAAGGTAGGGCATGACGTTGATCCCTTGCTCTTTAAGAACTTCGTACGCAGTTTCTGTGCTTGTGTTGAAGAGTGCAAGATAACATAGTTTCATATAACATGGAAGCTCATCCATTGCTTTTATCTCCATTCTGAATGTAATCAGAAAAAAAACTTAAAAACATTTCATGTCTGAATTCACGGTCAAATTTAAATTGTTTGACTCTCAAAATTCAAACTGTAACACGTAAATTGAGAAAGTTACTGACCTTTCAATAGCATGAGTGAAGATTTCTAATTCATCAATAGTGCCATAAACATCATAAATGTCATCTATAACTGTAGCCATAGGAGTGACCTTTGTCAACATTATTCGACAGTATCCCTTCTTTTTAGGTTCAAACATCATGCCAGCTATCCATTGGAAAGCTTCCACAATTCTATCCCTTGTAAATGGTAATTTCTCTGCAAGCAATGACTTCTTCCACCACCTTACATGTATGGAAAAGTTATTAATGCTATATAAGAAAACTGTGAACGTACTTAAATTAATGGAAAAATCTAAAGTACATCATCTCCAAAGACTTCTTACAAAACGTCTTTATGAACGGGTGGTAAAATTAACCTATAAGAATATGAATCGCCGATGTCTAATTCTGCTCATCTAAGATTTTAGCCGAAATTGATTCATGATGCCAAAATATATTTTGTTTAGTATAGTTAGATTAGATAAACCATATATAATAAAGAGAAACAAGTTTTATTATAAG